CCCCCTCCCCCCCATTACAGTGCAATGACAGACAAAGCATTTCTTGAATGTAATTGGGCAAGCCTGTGTGACTCAATTTGTCTTTGAATTCTTGTTTTTTCCTGAAAAATGCACCATTTATTTTCCAGAAAATTCTTCAATAGTAGTGCACGCAAAATAAATTTTCGCGCAAAGCAATTCCAAAAAAATTTGGACAAGGTAACAAGCCTCCCGAGGGTGGTTTTCGCGACGGTAAAACAGATTTTTCATACCTGTGTCTAACCAAGACAAAGAAAGGCTGAGAACAAGGTGAATCTTCAGGCATATGTCCCAAGTTCGCGATCAGCGCTCCGCCAGTCCTCCGCCATCGAAAAGCCTCCTCGTTTATGAGGTTGAGCAGCCGGAGCCTTTCTGATGTAGATGGGATCCGTTAGACTGTCCAGATTCGTGGAGTCACTGAAGTCCATCTCGGAGTCGAGTTCAAGCTGGTTTTTTTCATATTCCACCTCCCTCTGGTGGTTATCATCGCCCCTTCTGTCTACCGGAGAGAAAAATTCCTTGTACTGCTGCCGCAGAGCAGCCAGGTACTCGTCCTGTTTATTAGTCAGAGACTGAAGATATTCGTCAACAACACGACTTGGACTGTTTTTTTCATCTTCTCTTTTCTGCGTTTTGTCAATTGAACCAAATGGACTGTTTATTCTGTCGTCTCTTTGCTGTTTTTCGTGAAGAAGGCGAGCTGGACTGTGCATTACGTCATCTCTTTTCTCTGTTTCGGTCCTTTCGCAGGGAGAGTTGGAGGCGTAGTAGGGAGATGAGTTAGAGTTGGAAGAGCGAGATGACGCTGGGTAAGTGGAGGAGGGAACGGAGCTGGAGGGGGCAGACCGCATTTTCTGTGTCCAAGGCGGGGTTTTATTCTGGCCTCCGGCAGAGATGAGAGCGCGACCATTGTCCTGATCGTCTGCTTCCATCTGGCTCTTGACAGGACTGTCATACGCCAGGTCATTCATGAGGGAGTACTCACTCTGCTGATGGCGCATTTCCTCGATCCGACTATGAGTGATGGCCGCGAGCACTGTATACTTGAAGCCCTGACTCCGCATAATCAAGCTTCCGCTGGGTCGTCTGTAGCCCGAACTACCCAGCGCTGTACAGTACTGTCCCACTAATCTGAGAAATAGATGGTGTAGACTGGGGACAGTCTTGTAGACTACCTGGACCAGCCAATTACCACGAGCGATCAGGAGTTGTTCGTAGCTGTTGGAGACACGTAGTAGCAGGCTAGAATGGCTGGACTCGGAGGAACTATCAAGGGCGGAGGGGGAGGAGAGTGAGCGGTTGCTACAGTTGTTGCCTTTGCTGTTATTGCGCATTAGGTGGTTGCTGTGCCCGGACGGGAGACAGAGATTCAACTGGCTGAAGTCATTTCCGTCGAAAACGGATAATTCGCAGGCGCAGCGGGTCGAAACGCTTTGGCGTAATGACTGATACATGGGACTGCAGAAGAACGCCTCCCCATCGGTGCTCTGGGGTAGGAGGAAAATGAAGACACCGATTTGATTCTGACTTTGCAAGACGTCGACAGACATTACACCAGTCTGGGGAGGGGTGCAGGATAGGAGACTGGATTAATTAAATTGGCTGCAATGGCGCAGTATCGATCAATCCGCTTTAAAGCGCGTGCTTAAAGCGTGACGTTTACGGTATTCACGTGTCGCCTAGACTGTGCATACACTTACGCGACAGGCTAGTAAGAACCCTGGATAACTCGTACGCCTGGACAGAAACAAGTCAGAAGCCAAATTGGATAAATATCCAATATCACAGGAACGGAAACAACATCCTCATCTTACGAGCCCTTGTACGGAGAGCTGAACTTATATCGGCAACAAAAGCGGTTGGAACTACTGGAAAACTAGAAACTCTCCCCTCCCCCTATTAAATCGATGGCGCCAGGTGTTAGTGACAGACAGTATTTTGAGGCCATAACTGTTGCCATAAGCAAGCAGGAATTTAATATGTACAAAACTCCCCTAGGTGAACAGGGGAGCAAGACAATACGCAGGAACAGCAACTGCACACAATACAGGTGTAGCTACGTAATAAATACCAACTTCTTTTTCCACCGGGTCATTGAAGGCTGAAACAAACTACATTCTTCAGTCGTTCTTCCTGAAAGCATTGACGCCCTTAAAAGAAAACTTGATGAAACTTTACTTGATAGTCATACATTTGGTAGACACCAACGATTTATATAATGCGCACATATGGCTCTGAGGCATATGCAGGCTTTGCCAGAATCTATCTGTAACTAGGATTTTAAAAGGCTCTGCCTATCTCCCTTATATATACTGAACTATACTGAATTATAAATACCAGGGAAAATAGTTATGTGTGAGGTTTTGGTCGAGGTTGAGGTTAAATGTACGGTTGGATTGCGGTTTTGGTTTTCGTTAGGACACGGGAATGTGTGCCCTTCCTGGAATTTAGTACAAGGCTGCCTATCTTACATGGAGAATGGGCGTTCCTAGTTCTAAGGTAGATGGGCGTTCTGCGATCCGTATGGAACTTACTCGTTCTTATGTGCCTTAGAGCTCGCTGTCGAGCCCGATGCGCATTAGTTAAAGCGTTGGACTTTCAGCTAGCAGCGTCGCGGGTTCGAGCCTCATCAGCCTTGGTGTTTTGTATGATTGGCTGGTGACGGCTAATAAGCCAGAAATGGCCATTCGCTTTTTCCTTGTCTTTATCGGTAATGCATGTCTGCCTTTATTGTGCCTTCCATTGAACGGCTGCTGGCGGGTCTCGAGCGTGAACTTCAAGACATAACGGAGCAAGTGAATTCCGCACCAATCGGTGAGCGCCCATGTAAAATAGCGTTTATTAACAATCGGAACTCGGAAGACACTGAATCCGAGGCGCAGTGGTTAGAGCCTTGAAATTCTAACTAACAAAGCCGCGGGCTCAGGCTTCCGGAGGTTGCTATCTCTGGAGGTGGGGATGGCTGGCTGATGGCTGCTAATAAGCCAGGAATGGCCATTCCAGTCTCCCTTGTCTTTGTCAGTAGTGTGTCCCTTTTTCTGGTTGGAGCTGCCTGCTCACACAGTCATCAGTGCCGTCACTTGCACGTTGCCTTTGGCCCACAAACTACGCGTGACTCAACCTCCGGTTTGCGATACCGTAACACCGATCGACATTTTTGCCTTCATCGATTGGCCGCAGCCACACACACACCACAGTTCAACCGTCGCTCTCGACGATGTCCACTACGAGCTTCAGCAAACTGAAGGTAAACGCGGTGACTTTCACTGGATTATACTGAAAGTTGGCGAACATAGAGTCTACCTCACTCTCTCCCTACTCTCTCACCTGTATTCGATGTCAAGACAA